TTGACATTGAACCCAGGGAAGTCGTGGGAAGAATGAAAAATCTTCTGGGTTCCCCAAAGTGGTTGCGGAGATCAGGCAGGCTTTGTGTGGGGTCTGGCGTGGGAACCGCCGTGCAGAGATGGGGAGTTCTTAGGACTGGGATAAGCAGGTGGTTTGTGTCACCTGACCAGCTTAGGGATGCCAGGTCAGGCACAGGGGCCAGAAAATGGAACCAAAGCCAGAGAGTTTGCAACCTGTGGAAGGAGTTGGGCAGTCTTTGGCAACAGAGCTCTTGATGTCAAGAGCTCCAAGAGACGGACAAGGGTAAAGATAAGTTCATGAGCTAGTTTCCTCATTGATTCAACAAATTCTCCCTGAGCTGGAGTCAGATGCCAGGCACTGCTCTAGACCCTGGGGCTCTGTGCTGAACAAGATACTGTCCCTGCCCTCAGGAAGGTTATGTTTTTGTGGGGAGTAAAGACATAGAAAAGATGCTGTGGATGGTGGTTGATACAATGAAGAAAATACACAGACTGATGGAGCAGAGAGTGCCTACTGGGGGGGCACTTTAAAAATGGGCAGGAAAGGCTACTTGGGGAGTAGGAAACATGAACAGAGGCCTGAATGATGAGAAGAAGCATCAGGGCATGATCTAGCATTCCACAGGAAATGCAAAGGCCCTGGGGCTGGAGTGAACTTGGCATGTCAAGGAATATTTTTAAGGCCAGAGTGGCTTGGATGAAGGAGGAGTTAAAGCAGGAGGGGGTGAATGGGCCACTTTGTATACTGCCCTGAAGGTCAGGAAGGAGTTTAAATTTTATCCTATATGTAATGAGAGTCCACATGAGGGTTTAAGCAGAGAAATGGATTGATCTGAGTTCTGAGAACATCCTAACTCTGCAGGCATACAGTTTTCTAGAACAAACAAGAACAAACGAATCTTGTTTCCTTGGGGGGTTGGGGGGCAGGTAGGGACACCCTTGATCAGGGACTTGTAACTGTGTGATGAATCTTGATTGCAGTGAGGTGCTTGAATAAGGCTGTCTTGGAGAAGAGGAGATGGGTTGATAGTGATGGGATTGATTTATTCCCCCGAAGTGTTGATCCAGGATTACTGTCAGGCTGTGGGGAGGGTCTCCAGCAGTGTCTCCAAGGCTCGGCCCTGGACTCGTTCCCTTCAACATTTCTATCCATAAATTGGCAGAAGACCCAGGAGACATGCTCGTCAGACATGCAGCTGACATGGAGCTGTCAGGGACAGCTAATGCCACGGATGACAGACTCAGGATTCACCGTGATGATCCTCCACAGGCTGGAGAGACGGAATGAAACCAGCAATAGCCCCGACTGCACTCGGGTTGGGGAACAGAGCTCAGCTATGGGGCAGGGGGCCCTTGCTGGATAGCTATCCCTGGAAAGGAAGCCGGGTGGGGTAGGAGGAGGTCGTGAAGGCAGACGAACCCACCCACATCCCCACATTTTCTAGGTGACAAGGTCCTTGGCCTCTTTCAGGCTCATTTTTCCCCATCTGTAAAGTGGGGATGATGCTGTCTATTGCCCAGGAGTGTGGAGAGGATGAAATTCAAGCATGTATAGGGGATGCCTGGCTTCCTGTCTGGCCTGTAGTGGGTTTGTGACTGATGCAAGGGAAATAGGAGTTTGTGGAGGCTGGCCCGAGGGAGGGCTGGGGGCCTGGGGACAGCCTTTCAGGGGTACACAGAGGGCCCACAGCCAGAGTGGGCCCTGCATTCTTGGCACTGCGCTGCCCCTGCAGGGATGCCAGCTTCCTAAGAGGCCCCGACTGCTGTAATGTGCCAGAGGAGTAAGAACAGGGGTTCACGAGATGCCCTTCAACAGATGAATGGATAAAGGTGATGTGGGCCATATATACAATGGAATATTACTCAGCCATCAGAAAGGATGAATACCCACCATTTGCGCTGACATGGATGGAACTGTAGGGGATTATGCTAAGTGAAATAAGTCAAACAGAGAAAGACAATTATCATATGGTTTCACTCATATGTGGAATACAAGGAATAGAACAGAGGACCATAGGGGAAGGGAGGGAAAACTGAATGGGAAGAAATCAGAGAGGGAGACAAACCATGAGAGACTCTGGACTCTGGGAAACAAACTGAGGGTTATAGAGGGAGGAGGGTGAGGGGTGGGGTGACTGGGTGATGGGTATTAAGGAGGGCACGTGATCTGATGAGCACTGGGTACTATATGCAACTAATGAATCATTGAGCTCTACAAGAACTTATGATGTACTATATGTTGGCTAACTGAACATAATGAAAAAAAATAAAAAGGACAGGGGTTCATCCTCAGCTTCTGCCTGTGTCCGAGGTTGGGGAGGGGCAGGTGGGTCCTCTCAGGTGCTGAGAAGGGACCATCTGTGGGTGGTTTTTGATACAGGGACCCCAGGGTCCTGAGGGCCTTTTAGAATCTGCTTTGATTTCTCCTCGGAGTTTGTACTTGAGACGATTCAAGTGGTGAGACTTTTCCTATGTGCATCTATTGTGTAACGTTTTTATTTAAAAACACACACACCCAGCCAAAAGTAGAGCCAATAGTACGTGATGAACCCACATACCTATCACTCACACAGTTTTAGTGATGGTCAACACATGGCCATCTTGTTTCATTTATGCCCCCATCTTCCTTCCAGCCCTGCTGGATTAAGTTTAAAGAATATCTTAGGCATAATTTTATCTACCTCTAAGAGATAAGGACTCATTTTTTTTGGTTCAGTATAAACCACAATACCATTATCACAATGTTTTAAAATTGATATAATTGTAGTAGGTCTTTCTAAAAAAAAATCTATTGGTGTATAGCTTGCTTTGCAAGTTTTTTTTTTTGTTTTTTTTTTTTGTAGAAGGGTGAGTCAAAAACTGATCCTTCAAATGTCTGGTTTCTGTAACTCGAGATTCACCTGTTCCCTTTGAGGATGATGATGAAGAGGAAGAAGGGGGGTCTCTTTATTCTGATTGTTCTCAGGGACACAGCCGTGAGAGTGGGTCCTATTTATAGCTGAAGTCTAGACATGGGACGGAGGAAAGGAAGGGAACGGGAGAGGGCAGGGAGGAAGGGGAAGGGGGAGAGGAGAGAATGGAAGGAATGAGAAAGCCAGAGTGGAAGATGGTCCCATCTCTCTGCAGCTATGCCACCCTCCAGAGCTCCCAGCCGACACATGCCGAGCTCACACCCAGATCACCTCCCCACGTTCTCACCCCAGTGTCACACCCGTGGTTCAGGTGTCATGCCCAAGCAACAGGGGAGGCCCCGTGGTTCCAGGGTCTGACATGAAATAGGCAGTAGTGCCTGATGGAGACCCTGGTCTGCTTGGCTGGAGTCTGCTTTCTCCTGGCCCCTCTCTGCTTCTAAGTCTGCTGAGGCCACCTGTGGGGCTGGTGACCAGGAGGCATGCCGGCTCAGTTGGTAGAGTAGTGACATGCTCTTCCCTGTGTTTCCCAAGGGCCCTGGCCACCCACCTTCTTTCCCAGGACCCCTGGGCCTCACGAGGACCCAGCAACTAAGGGGGTAACGCCTGGCACAGCTGGAAGCCCCGGGGACTGTCGCCTGTGCCCGTTCTGAGTGGTTGTCCAATACAGTGACTTTTTCTCTGGCTCAGCGTGTGGGGGTGGTGATGCATGAGTCGTTTTGTGCCTGCACGGGTGTGTGCATCAAACACACCCACAAGTGTGTGCATTTGCTCCTGCGTACGCATGAGGCTGTATGAGCTCAAACACAAAGAGCATTACGAGGAAGGCACATCCCTACTGGCAGGATTCATGGTCCCTGCTCGAGGGACTCACTGAGCCCTGGGGAGGACCTGTCAGAGTAGGAGTGTGCACCAGGCCTCCCCCACGGGAAACACCACTCGTGGGCACTTTTCATCTTCCTCCTGCCCCTTCTTCATTGTCTTCACCACCCTCCCCCAGGGGCATTGAGCAGTTTCCAGGATGCTCTTTGTAGACCACCTCATCCACTTTTTATGGGAGCCCATCAAATACAGAGAGCAGATGATTTTAAGCTAGGTCGCCACGGTCCTTCTGGTGGTGCCAGGGAGGAAGGTGCCCCCTTGCCAAGGACGCCAGGCCGGCAGGAATATCATCCTCTCCCACACCTGGAAAGAGCCAGCAAGCAGCAGCCTAGAGTCTGTGGTCCCAATCGGCCCCATCGGGCTGGTGTTGACCATCAAGCACCCAGATGGGGCCCAGGATTGGAGGTGCAGGTAGAGGCCAGTGTGTGGGTACAGGGAGATGCTTGAGAATCAGGGCAGTCCCCAAGGAGCTGCTCCTGCTCCCAGGAAGTGGGGTTCAGTCCAGAGGCCGTGATCTGGTCAGAGGGCCGTGCCAGCCAGGGGGGAAACACAGGTATCCACCCACGGGGCCACAATGTGGACTCCAGGATCCAGCCAGGCTGTCACACCTTGGATCACCCTTACCAACTGTGCCAGGCCCTGTCCAAAGTGCTTTGCACATGTCTGTTATTCTTGTTAACCAGATGAGGAGACAGGGCACAGAGATGCTGAGCAACCTGCCCAGGGTCACAGTGGGGAAGTGAGGGAGCCAGGGCATGAGTCCAGCTGTCTAGTCCCAGGGCTCAGCCCCAGCACTCTGGCCTGCATGCTCAGAGGTGTTGACTCACTCCCGGCCCCAGTGTGGCTGGTCTTTCATTGCGTCAGGTCCTGGGCACAACAAAACAGGGAGGGATGGACTGAAATTGAGGCTCAGCTCATTCAGCAAGATGGAATATCTGGAGAGGACCCCGATTCCCAATTCCCAGACCTGTGCTCTTGGTGCTGGTCCTGCTGGCCTGGCACAGAAACATCTTGGGAATCCACTGTTTGTCCATTTTATCTCCTGAGAAAGCAGTAGGTTTCTCTTACCTGGAAATGTATTCTCTCCATCCCCTCTCCCTGGGGCCTGGGGCCTGCCACAGAGCCCCCAACCTCCCCCGCCCCCCCAAGTGAGCTGGCACTAAAGCCCCTCTTTCTGACCTGTTTGCAGAGCTCTGGAGCTCAGCCGTGACAAAGATGAGATCTCCCTGTTGGTGGAGCAGGAGTTCTTGAGCCTGACCAAAGAGCACCTCATCTTAGTCACAGAGAGCTCGGGGGAGCTGGAGGCACCTGGCATTTCCCCCGAGGGGCCCAGACAGCCGGCTCCCTGCTTCCTCGCCCCTCCTCCGGTGGCAAACAGCAGTGAGTACCCCGGAACCACCATCATGGCCGCCGACACACTTCTGGAGCCGAAGGTGGCCGTGTCCGTGATCAGCAGCCGGCAGGACTGCGACTCTGTCATGTCTACAGTCACGGGCATTCTGCGTGCTGCCAAGGTCAAGAGTGTCAAGGGGACAGAGGATGGAGGCCACATCCTGGGTGCCTCCACCTCGGAAATCAACAGACTCCTGGCCCAGTTCCCACTGAAGTCCACAGAGGCAACCAAGGTTCCTGACAACAAGATGGTGCTGGAGGAGACGAGGGTCATCAAGGACTTCCTGCAGAACAGCATGTTCAGCGGCCTGGGACCCAGGGAACCCACGGGGTTGGGCCCCTTCCTCCTGCTGCCGCCCCCGCCTCCCGCACCCCCTGACAAGCTCCCTGAGCTCCCTGCTCAGAAGAGGCAGCTCCCGGTGTTTGCCAAGATCTGCTGCAAGCCCGAGGCTGACTCCGCCATGGAGGGGCACCTCTTAATGGGTGAGTGTGGTTGGGAGCAGGGCTAATGAGTGGGCCTGCAAGGAGGAACCTACCAGAAAGCCAATCAGGGCTGCAGCAGGGGCATGCAGCATCTTTAGCAGAGTAGGACAAGGTGGTCTCTCTGATGTGTGCAGTCCCCAAGTGCAGGCTGTTTTCAGCACTTACAGGCCCCCTCTGCTGGATGCCCATGTATGGGGACACGGCTTATGTAAGTAAACACAGTGGCCTGGATCCCAATGCACTTTGAGAAGAGATATAGGCACATGTGGTAACTGGCTCATGTTTTGAATCCAGGTATCCAGAGCACATTGAAGGAAGCATTTACCCCAGCTGAAACTGCAGCATGGGGACTTTAAGCTGGATAGGAGGAGAGAAATATGATTAGCAGCTGGGGTCATCTGACTTCCGATGGAGGAATCGGTTCTGACCACGACGACTGGTCCTCCCTCCGGGTCCTGGGGGTGAACGTGCAAACTCTCCACGTGCCGTTCATTCAGACTGTTGGCCTGGACTTGTGCCCTGGGATTCCTGAGCCTTAGAACAGTGCATTTCCACCTGCTAACTGAGGAGTCCTTACCCTTTCCCAAAAGCCCAGCCACCTCCCAAGTTCCCCTCACCCCACCTCCAGGTTCTGCATGTTGTGCCTGTTCTGATCCAGCCACTCAGACTGGACGGTTCCAAGGCAGAGGCATTTGCCTACAGTCAGCAGTCTTTAGGAGAGTTGATCATCATACGTCAACCAAAAGAAAAATCACCCCCAGGCTGTGAGCATGAATGGATAACTGAGATGCTGTGTTGGGAGAGCACAAATCCATCTCCTTAATAAAAGAGGTGCATGTTCTGTGTTCTGGAACATTGTGGGAAGGCCGAGGAATCAGAGCTGGGGACAGCAACCTGGACTCTGGGTCCTGGGAAGGCCTCTGGGACCCAGTGCACTTTTTGGGAGCTGTGTCTGTGAGGGCTGAGCCCTGCCCGGAGGGTGGGACTTTCCTGCCACCGCCTTCTCCAGGAAGGACGCCTGGAGAGCTCTCTGAGGGATGGGGCTGCAGGCTTGGAGGTGGTCCTGTCCCACCCACCCTCCCCACTGTGTGTGTTTGTCTCTGTGTATCGATGTGTGGGCAAAGGTGTGCGAAAGGAAATTTTATAGGTCTGGGTGTGTTCGTTAGAGAAAATGTGGGTGTGGGTGCATCTGAGTCTGTCTGTGTGTATGGGTCTGTGTGTATCCATCTTGTGTGCATCGTCGTGCACATGTTAAGTGAGGCAGAGGAACAACAGGCAAGAACGTGTGTGTGTGTGTCTGTCTGTGTACACAGACGTTGGAAGAGGGAGCTTTGAAGTTGAGTGAGTGGCAGGCGTGTTCAAGGCAACGGGAGGTATGTGAGAGACTGCAGGTGTGTTGGGTCTCTGGGGAAAGGGCTATTATTAGTGGGTACTGTTATTTCAGCACACTGGCTGGGGGCTAAACCTGGCAACCAGAGAAACTCTTGGAAGAGACTCTAGGGACATGTTTTGCTAAAAATGTCATTTTCTTCTAAATTGGCTCAGGCTAGAGCACTCTTTCCTTCGCTGGGATGGTGCTAGGAAGGTAGGCCCAGTCTTGTCCAGACTCAGCCACAAGACCACAGGGCTGCAGTGGGGGCACATGCTGGAGGGATCAGATCCATTCCCAACAGGTGACACTAGGCACAGGTCCTCTGGTCCAGCCGCTATGGGAACGATCCGAGGTGCTTGCTGCGCATTCCGCACGATTTCCCAGCCAAACTCCGTGGAGACCTGCAAAGCCTCCAGGCTGGGAAAGGAGTGAAGAGCGTGGCTTCAACCAGACATTGCCTTAAAAACAAACAAACCCACATATATACAATTTCGCCCATAGTTAATTTTGTTTGAAGAACGAGTCCCTTTGCTCAAAGGGAAATCTAGGTGAAAAATCACTGCTGTAGAGGGTATTGGGATGGTCCAGACAGCGTCCTCACACCAGGGGACCACTCCGTCTGTTTGCAGAGAGACCCGGGCCCGACCCCCACCACACGCACTGGGGGGACATGCACTCACCTGTCTCTCTGATGCCCGCACCTGCTGTGCCATCTCCCCGTACTCCTGGACGGAAGGCCTCCCGGAAGGCCCACTTCCTTCTGGAAACCCTCTGACCCTCTCCGATAGAAGCCGTCTCAGCCACCCTCTTCTCCCACTGTGTCCCTCTGTCACCTCACGGTCCCCATCTGCCTTGCCCTGGAGCTATTTCTGGGTCTGTCTCTCTCTCCCTCCTTGTTGTGAGCTCCTGCAGGGCTGAGTCTGGCTCTGACTCATCAGTGTCCTCAGTACTCAGGTCAGGGCCTGGTGCTGACAAACGGGCTGGATCACCCATGAGCAACAAAGCAGGAGTAGGGTCCACGGTGAGGGGCCGGACCTCAGCTAGGCCACGTGTTCTATAGGAACACGAGCCTCCCCCATGGAGCCGGGGAGGCGGGGCTGAAAGCAGCTCTGTATCCCAAGATTGGCGCTGTGGATGGATAGAGGGAAGGGAGAAACAAAAAGAGGGAGAGAGGAAAGAAAAAAGGTAGAAAGGAAAGAAAGCAGGGAAAAGGGGAGGGAGGAAAGAAAGGGAGAGAAGAAAAGAAAGGTAATTGGAGGGAAAGAAGTCTGGATGGAAGAAAGGGAGGATGGATGGATGGATGGATGGATGGATGGATGGATGGACGGACCCATGTATGCATGCATGAGAGGGGAAGGCTGCAATGGGCAGTGGTCCGTGAAGGTGTCAGGGAGAAGACTAGGACTGGCTTGGGCTGGGAGGGAGACCCCAGAGTGGTTTGAGCCCCAGGTGTGTGCTAGGGAGGACCTGTTGCTTTGTCCACAAGACAGTGCTCCTTGCATCCAGCACGTGGCTTCCCAAAGCCATTGACTCAGTTTCCCTCCTGCTGTAGAATGGAACTCTGGTGCCAAGGAGCTGACCAAGGGTCGAGAGAGCCTCTTTCTCAGTCAGTGGCCCCAGAGCCGGAAGGACACGTGTGGTGAGGAAGGGTGCAGTGACCCAGTGGGCTCCATGTCCATGGCCCTACCAGCCAAGAAGCCTGCGTGGCCAGCCGAGAAGAACCTGCTCTATGAGTTTCTTGGGGCCGCCAAAAACCCAAGCGCGCAGCTAAAGCTTCGCAGCAAAGTGGAGGTGGACGGGCTGGAGCTGAAACGTAAGCTGACCCTGCCCGGGGGGAGTCTGTAGAGGAAGGGATTCCAGAAACTCTCAATAGGCCTATGATGGCTCTGCCGCCAAATGGCTGCCTCGTCCATGGGCAAGTCACTGGCTTTCTCTGGGCGTCAGTTTTTAAACTCATAAAATGGGAGAAATGACTCTCTCCCACGTCCCTTATCAGGAGTACAACTGCTAGAGAAATATGGGTGAATTTCAGTGGTCAGTTTGAATACAGCCCCAAGCCAGCATACATCGTATCTGCTCAAGTTGCTCAAGCCAAAGAAAAATCCATGCTTCAGGTTATTTCTACACTGAGATTATTCATGTCCCTGCTTTCTGTCCCTACAACTGTTTCAGCCAAACCTCCTTTGTCCAAAAAGATGCCCCTAAGGGGAAGTTGAGGTCCCATCTCTGACTCTGGAAACACAGGACATTTACCAGAGGAAGAGAGTCTGGGATTCATATCCTAGAACAACCCAACCAGATCTCATTCATTCAGACTAATTTGGGGTCATACCGTGTCAATTATATAATGTTGAAGATTTTTTTAAAAATGTTGCCAGTATAGATAAAACAACCTGAGTAGGGTCCTCAGTGTCGCCAAGTATATGTCCTCAGGGGGCTGCCTTAATAATTTGGTAAGAATGAACTCCAACGGCATAGCAATTGTTGGTATAAAACTGGATTCTTGTAAAGCACTGAAAAGCATTTGGTTTTCTACATAGCTGAGCTATAGCCCTAGCATCCTGGTTTATTGTTTTCTCTTGCTAAACCACCTCCTTTACTAGTGTATGATGGAGAAAGAACTGTAAGCCAGACCATGCCGGGATGCACACCTCTTCCAAATTGGCCAGGTGTGTGCTAACGATGTTTTCCTATAGTTGGAAAGTCACCCCCACTTTGAAGGGCCCTCTTGGAGCTTAAAGGACCTGACATCCGAGAACATGAATCCCGGGGTAGTCATGGTGCTGAGGGTGTGCTGGCCTCTTCCTTCCTCAATCACTGAGACGCTCTACCTCTCCTGTGACTCACAGTTAACCCACCTGTGACGGCGGCCGACAAGAGCCACCTCAAGTACACAGGGAATGTTTTCACCCCACGCTTTGCTACAGCCTTGACCTCAGCCACCCTGAACCAGCCGCTCTGGCTCAACCTGAACTATCCGCCTCCGCCCGTGTTCGCAAATCACTCCACCTTCGCACAGTACCAGGTGAGTGAGTGGGTCCCGGGCCTGGCTCCCCAGGTTCCAGCCACGGAGGAGTGGTGGTTTGCAGGGAGCCTGATTCACAAAGAGGCCTTAGACTTGTTATTTTCTTCACCGTGGCCACATCAGACCAACTACTTGGTACACACACACACACACACTCTTAAATTTTCCATTGTCCAAAATCCAGCTCACTCTGTGCTGTGTATGTGCTTTGCTAGTGTTGGCTGGTGAAGTGCTTGGGCTCCCAGCAGAGGAGGAGGGCACAGTTCTTGTTTCCCACCCACTGCTATGACTTCCTTTAGAGTTGGATGACATGTGTCCTAGAGTACCTGGGACAGTCCCGGTTTTGGTCTCTTGTCCCAACATTACTAAAAGCACCCCCTTTTCACTCTCAAGTGTCCTGGTGTGGATGCCAAACTATATGGCCACCTTATTTAAACGACATCTGAATAGTCTCAGCTTGTTCCAGCTCAGGTGGCCTGGCGCACATTCCAGATCTTGGGCTCTTAACCTAAAGGGAATTAGTGACCAGACACGAAGGGATGGTGCAACACGAGGAGCAGGGCTGGAAATTTTACTCACGGAACTTATTTATGCAGGAAAATGTAGTTTCTTTAGTTTGTCTATTTAAGTCAATCTCCCTTAAGAGCTGCCGCCCACTGGGCAGAAGGAGGGAAAAAAAAAAAATCAAATCAGTGTCCACTCTGGTTTAAACCTTAGTCTAATTCAACAACTTCAACAGTCCCTGTAGGTAGTGCTCAGTTTCTCCAGGAAAGGTGCTCAGCATCTGAGATTGCTTAGTCTTCTGGCTAAGCATCATAGGCCTATTGAGAGTTTCTGGAATCCCCTGCCCCAGCTCCTCTCCAGAATGGCACTTAGGTATATGGGCAAGACACACCAACTTGTACACCCAGGTCTTTGGGGGCCTGCTGCCCCCGGCTGGCCCAGCAAAGCATGGAGAAGGCACACGGAGAAGACAATACACCTGCAAATCATCTTGTCCGGTCTCTGTGCATTTCTTCCTTTACAACAGAGCGGCAAACCTTAGGGCTTAGGTGTCCCCTGCGCAGAAGGTGGATCTTCTCTACACCACACAGAGCCTCTCTGAGCTGGACCACCAGACTTAGCCCCAGAAGCTTAAACAGAAGCTCACAGAGTTTAGCAAAGTCTCTGTCTTTCTCTCTGATGTTTTATTTTCAAGGCTTTTTGTTTGTTTTTTTGCTAAAGAGGACAAGGGCCCACCCCCTCCCCCTGCAGGATGGAGAGCCTTGGGCTGGGGCTGTCAGGACACATGAGGGAGGGGGAGGCCAGCATGCATCAGCCCCGTATCTGTCTCGTCCTTACCCAGGTCTTGAGCGAAGTGCCCTGTTCTCGCCCTTATCCATTCACCAACCTCTTCTCTAGTACTGCTCACCCTGGCGTTTTTGTGTTTGCTCCTTCATTATTCAGTCCTTTATTCACCTACTCACCGACGTGTTCATTTTTATTTATGTGTTTACTCGTTCATTTAAGTAATTTAAAAACCTTTGCTCCACCCTAACCACAGGCCGAGTATCGGCCAGGCGAGGGCATTCAAAGATGACTGAGATGCTCAGAGTCCAGCACACGTCAGGCACAGATCGGAGACCTGCACTTTGTGCACCCCACCTCTGAAAGGGAAGGAGCCGCATAATTTTATGCAGTGTAAACCGATTCACTCTAAGTGCACTTGGAGCTCAGTGTATAAAGTGGATGCTTACTGGCTTGCGTTATAAAGAGCGGAAAGATAATAGCTCCTTGCTATGTCAATTGCTTCTGGCTTGACTTTTTGGAGGGAGTGAAATTCGACCATATTATCTGAGCACGAAGGTCCTTTGTTTTCAGAGATGCTGGTGTTTGCAGCACACGGCTGCCTCTAAGGCTTCCTGGCCTCTGCTGGAGAAACTGACCCTCCCAGGGAGCGATGGAGAACAGGGCAATTTACCTTCTCGAAACTTCTCATGATTTCATAATGCCATCCAGCTTTGAGACGGCTCATCAAGGGGCCTGACGTAATAAAAAGAATGCAGGTTTTGGAATTTGCAGACTTGCGTTTAAAGAAATCTGCTGCTTAAAGCTGTGTGGCTCTGGACAAGCTAAAGTTAGCTAAAGGCTCTGAGCCCTCCTTCCCTCACTCGTGAAATGGGCTCATAATAATTAGCAGCAGCGGCGCAGCCTGTACTTGACTCGGTTGTAAGGTTAATTGAGTCTATGGGTGAGAAAGGGATTTGAAAAGTCTTAAGTATGATATAGATGTTGGTTTTTATTATTATTCAGCCCTGATCTTCCTAGGAAACAGGGTCAGGGAGCTGCACAGACCTTGAGGAGACAGAGAGGAGAAACAGGGAATGGTCTATCCTAGTCTTTCCTTGAGTGGCGTTAGGAATAAAGATGAGGTCCCAAATCCAATTTACTCAGAGCTCCACTGTGGAGCGATGCAGAGCCATGGAAAACTAAGTCTGCAGCACCCAGGAGATCTGGAGGCTCCTGGGCTGCTTGGCATAAAGGAACTCTGTTCCCAGTTAAGGAGGGAAGGTAGAAAGGGGCCGTGACCTCAAGCAAAGAAGAATGAATGTTTATTTACCCTTGTTCGTGATTTTACAGAATTGCAGAATTGCAATTTGAACAACTAGGAATGTCCTCAAAGTCGGCGAGTGTACTACTCATACTGATGCATGTGGTACTGTCTCCTGAAAATCCGTCCAGGATGGAGCAGGGGCAGGCGGCTGTTTGCCTTCCACAGGCCCCAGGGGCAGCCCAGCCCAGGCGTGGGGAGGACGGTGGCCTGGGGGAGCTGGCCGTGCACCGCAGAGCCCAGGCTGATGGGGAGGGAGAGCGGCACGCAGAACCTGGCCTCGGAGCTCGCCATGCGCTGGGCCAGCCAGGGGGGCCCCCGTCTGTCTGACTGCTCTGTTCAGGTTCAGGCCATGGCGGGGGGCGCAGAGACCAGGCCGTGGTCATGGTGGTGAGTGGGGTTGCCCCAGGGCTGCAGGGCTTGGAGAAAAGGGGAGCAGGTGTTCCGGTTGCAGGTGAAGGGGCTGGTGGAAGTGGGAGCGGCCTGACCGCAGTCTCTGTCAGTCGCCTGGGAGCAGAGAGCCAGGGGAGGTTCTAGAGGATGCATACACTTGGAGACATGGTAGGTGGGGCCCCATATCACGGATTCTGCAGCCTTTGATGAGGAGCCTATGGGCGCTGAGGAAGTCATCAAGGGCACAGTGTCAGCCATCAGCACTTTGATCACTGGCACAGGCTGAGTCCAGAATGGGGGCACCATCTCAGGGTTTGGAATCTTCTGGAAAGACATACTGGCCTGAGGGGTGCTCTGAGCTGTGTCTTAGGAGATAACTCTGAATTGGCAGGTAGAGGCCGTCTGAGCCCGGAGGGGCTATGATCTGACCCCAGCCCCAGAAGCTGGTTGTGTGTGTGTGCGTGTGTGTGTACACATGGGCGCCCAAGGCCGCCCCAGACAGAGTTCTGAATAAAGGTTCTGCTTCCCATTTGGCTGAACTGCCTGACCACCTCTTCAAGGTGGGGGAGCAGTGAGACGCTGCAAATAGCTAACGTTCGCAGAATCCTTACTACGTGCTGGGCTCCGTTCTAAGCCCTTTAGACGCACTAACTCATTTATCTTCCTGCCAATCCTCATCATAAGGTGCAGACACAGGTGTATGTGTGGGCACATAGACACACGGCAGCAGAGACCCAAACGAATTCCCCGAAACACACAGCTGAGGACACAAATGGAAGCACACGTGTTGATGTGCTTAAATAAACATGGATGCAAACCAACACACACGCGCGCACACACACACACACGCACATCGATACCTCAGGTCTTGGGCACGAATGGAGTTTGGGGAAAGGCACTTAAGAAAAGGGTATAGATAGCAACAAAGATAATTTGGCTACCTTCACCGACCTTCGCGGTTTGAACACACATAATTTTATAGACAAGGGAAAAGAGGCTCAGAGAAGTGAAGCAACTTTCCCAAGGTCACACAGTCACCAAGGGGGCAGACCTGGGATTCAAGAGGCAATCAGGTCCCTCAAGGTTTTACCTGAAATGCTCCCCAGAAAGGCTATGAATCCTGCTCAGCAGGGGCTTCCTGTGCAGCGTGAGTTGCGCTTGCTCGGCCTGGTGGCTGCCCAGGCAACGGGTGGGTCTGGCCAGCAGCGTGGTGGGCCAGCCTCAGGCAGGCTGGCAATCCAGGCGTTGTGAGCGGGAAGCTGGGCGGAGCAGCTGCTGCTCTCTGGCAGGGAGCCCTTTGCCCCGCCGTGCTGAGCCTGTCCCTTCTCCCCGCAGGGCCTGTACCCACAGCGCACAGCCAGGATTACCTACCAGCAGCCCGTGCCCCCCCAGCTGGGCTGTTACTCCCGCCAGGTGAGCAGACAACCTCCTCCCCTCGGTCCCAGCTCCACGAAGGCCTTCAGGTCAGAAGGACATCGGCTTCCTCGTCCCGGTCCAGCAGGTCACTGGCCAGACTTTCTGGCCCGCCCTTGGCCCCAGAGAACAGACACGAAGGCCAATATGCACGTGGAAAGAAACCCGTGTCCCCAGGTGCTAAATGCTGGCACCTCCATGGCCCTTGCTGCGTCGCAGCCCCTCTCTAAGGGCTTTACCTGCATGAACTTCACGGCCACCCTGTGGAATAGGTTAGAGATGAAGAAACTGAGGCACAGAGAGATTCAATAACGTGCAAAAGGTCCTAAAGTTAGCATACCAGTTAGCTTTTGCTGTGGCAACAGACAGCCTCAATATCTCAGAGATTTTCAACAATACTGAGTTTTCCTTCACAAGTCTATGGGTTGGTGGAGCTGGTCTGGGATTGGGTTCAAGCCTGCTTCATGTGTCTCCCTTTGGGGACCATGTTGACGATGCAGTAGCTTTTGCTCCTGCCGCGGTGGATGACGGGAGTGTGGGAAGGGTGAGCAGAAACGCCAACTGCTTCTGAGAACCTCAGCTTGGAGTCAGCACATGGCAGTGTGCACCTGCCTTCCACTGGCCAAGGAAAATCACGTGGTTTTGCCTGGCATCGGTGGGGCTGGGGAGTCATCTCCTTCCGTGTCAGTTTGTCAGTTAAAATGTAAGACATCCAGTTAGGCTTCAGGTAGATGGTGAATAAAGTCTTGGTATAAGGAAGTCCCAAATATTGCATGGGCCCTAGTTATATTAAAAAACGATTTGCTGTTCACCTGAAGTTCAAACCTAACTGGAGGTCTTTTTGTTTGTTCGTGTGCCAGATCTGGCACCCCCCACTTCCATGGGTAGGCCAGGAGTGGGCATCTGCTTGAAGACTACACGATGGCAGAATTGGGGTCTGACCTTGGGCAGCCTAGCTTCAGAGTCCATGCTGCCAATGACCATGGCTTACTGCCTCTTACACACAAAATAAAGCAGCAGAGGCAGATACGCACTCACAGAGACACAAGGGAAGATGTAGGTATATGAATGCCACTAAGCTGCACGCACATGTGTATCCAGAGATAGTGGAAGTCTTGGGGCAGACATGGAGGTGTGAGGGGAGAGACTGACACCGCACTGCGTCCCCAGGCTGGTCTTGCCCCGCTCACACACAGATGGACAGACCCCACACTCAGACTCACACTCCTTGGCCTCTTTTCTGCCCCGCCCCCCACCCCCAGGGAGCAAACTGTACCTCTGACCTGAAGTATGTTGGAATGTTCCAGAGGGTAGAGAAGAGCCCATAGATATAGACTACTTTATTACATGGGCCAGAGCTGCTTTTCCAGCAGTAGGGGCTCTGCATCCGCAAGAAGAATAGAGATGAGAGAGAGTCTGGCTCATGGGATCTCCACCAGTCACCCCCACCCCACAAACAGCAATACGTCCATCTAGCCCCAGAGGCAGCATGTTGAGACCACCTCATGTATGTGTGTGTATCTGAAAAAGTAATAGAACATGGTACAAAATAAAAAAATCTCAGAGGCAGTCGCTGTTGCTGGTTCCTGCAGTCTCTTTCCAGCGGCACCTGTTTATACAAACATTTTATATATATGTGGCTTTCTGGGCACACTGATCTATCATTACTTTTGTCAGCAAAGCATATCCTGGAGGTGGTTCCCGAGCAGCATACACAGCTGTTTTATGGTGTTTATCATTTACACGTAGTTAGGGACACATCCCTAAAGAAGGCTTGCATGAGCTCCAGGACCTGCATCTCCTCTTTCCTGTCAGTCCCCTCCCAGGTCCGGGCCTCTGCCGGCCCCCTACCTCCAAGAAAACCAGGGGGATTTTCTCCTCTTTCTGCCTCTGTCCTGGAGGGAGGTGCCTTCCTGGGTTCTCTCTGTGAGCTGTTGGCTCTTTTGGACCTTTAGCTCGTCATCATGGGGTCTGGGGGCCCATGTCCAGCATCACCAGGTCCTTCCTTTCCCCTGGAGGAGACATGGGGAGGGTCCGGAGGAAGGGGCTCAGGCTTCTCGAGGGAACAGGTGTAGAGGTGCCATAAAGGGGCACAGGCACCAAGCCTTGGGGGTTCCGACTGCAATTCAGACACTTGGAGCACTTACTGTGCAAGGTTAACTTCTCTGAACCTCATTTCCTCATCTCTAGAATGGGAAGAGTAGTGGTCCTACCTCACAAGCTGTTTGGAGTTTAAATGAGAGAATCCATAGGAAGAGCCTGGCCTGCCCTAAGCTCTCAATAAGCCCTAGCTTTTGTGATTTTTTTTTAATTAGATAAGGACATGCAGGGTGAGAGAGGGCTGTCAGTGTGCTGAATCCCTGCACGCCTCGGACCCCAGACTCTTGCTTTTAAAGAGGGAGCCCAGAAGTTTCCCCAGTTTTGACGGAAACTCCCATCAGCATCCAGGAGGATGGATGTCAGCTCCATACAAGAGAGGGTTTTCTGACATTTGGAGCCGTCAGTGGTAGAATACAGTGCCTGAAATGTAATGAGCTCCCCGTCAGTTTGGGTATTCAAGAAGACACTTAGTGGCCTCTTTTTTCTTCTCTCCTCTTCCTCTCTCTTTCTTCCTTGCATTCATTCATTTAGCATATGTTTATTGAGCAGCTACTATGTGCCAGGCTCTGTCTTGGGGCTGAGAAGATATCAGTAGATAAGACAGACGGGATCCTTGGTCGGTCAAGGGCCAGATAGCGGGACCCCAGGTTCTTAGTGCGAGTCAGATCTGGGTAGTGTCCAAAACCCCAGTGAGTTCCTGATTTTCCCTGAGCTGAATCTCTTTGCCGGTTCCTGCCCTTTCTCCTAGATTCACACTGTACAGTACTGTAACCACTAGCAGCCCCGTGTGGCTTCTTACATTTAAATCAATTAAAATTAAGTCCAATGTACAATTCAGTTCCTCATTCACAGCAGTCACTGTTCAAGTGGTCGGCCAATAGCCACGGGGGGCTGGCAGCTGCCCCAGCGAGCGGTGCAGACACAGGACAGCCCCGTCACCGGGCCGGCATTTCCACTGAGCCGGGCTGTCTTGGACTTGGTGTCTGTTGAGATCCTGAGGTAGAAGCCAGGGATGTATAAATCTCAACAGCTTTTTTTTTTTTTTTTTGAGGTAGTAAAAGACTTAAAAATGAACAAGGGCTTTTGGGATGGTTATTGACGGAGGAAGAAGTAGGGAGGCAGGGCCGGGAATGCAAATAAAATTTATTTGCTATTTGTTATGCACCAGTTTCTTTGCTTTTATCAACTGACTCAGTCTCCATACAGTGAAGGGAGTGTTTGCCCATTCTACAGATGAGGAAACCGAGGCTCAGATAAACTAAGTATCTTGCCAGTCAGATACAGAAGCTGAGCCCTGGGCTTTTGCCAACCCAACACGGTGCCGTCTATACGCCCACAGTAACTGAGGGGCACAGGGCCTGAGGGGGGTTGCTGGGGTTGGACTTAGAGCCAGGAACTGTAGGGTTTGGAAGCAGTGGGCTCTGCTGGACCCAGTCCCTCTCTTATCTCTGACCTGCAGGTGACGCCGTACAATCCACAGCAGATGGGACAGCAGATTTTCCACTCTTCCTACACGCCCCTGCTGAGCTACATCCCCTTCGTCCAGCCCAACTATCCGTACCCTCAGAGGACACCTCCAAAGCTGTCCACCAACCCCCGAGACCCTTCCCCCATGGCAGGAGATGCGTCACAGTACCTGGTCCCCCAGGCGTACGGGTGAGTCCTCAACCCACACAGGAAGTCCAGTCTGTATCCAGAAAGCTGCTGGGGAGGGGAGGGGGCATGCTGGGAGAGCCTCGCTGGCGTGTTCTTGGTACATATGCTCTGTGGCTGAAGGGAGGGAGGGGCCCTGTGCCTGTCGGGGGGCTGTGTGGGTCCTGGATGGACCTGGTATGGAGGTGAGGCTGGTCCAGGGTTTGCTGGGCCGCTGTTGTAGGCCCATGATGGGGCTGGGGCCCCACAGCCTGGATGCAGAAACGTAGCTGCCCAGTTGGCAGTGGACGATAGGTACACTGTCTTTAGCAGGTGGCAGGTGGCGGAGCGTGACGCATCTGCCTTTAACCGTTTGCTTGGTTTACAACAGGACACGGCCAGGTAATCTTCTTAGAGCTCTCTCCCCCCAGTTACTGCAGCCTGAGCTCCTTCCCAGGCTAATCTCGCCAACATCCCATTGACTTTGTAACAAGCCCCACGGAAGGGACTTCCGCGGCTTATCATGGCTGCTCACACTTTTCCACCAAAGGGCCCCAAACAGCAGAGGACAGGGACTTCGCAGCAAGCAGCCAACACAAACTCAACATTTTAGCTGAAAATTCCACACAAATTTTACATGCTGGTCCGCCATAAATTAATGTTCATTGTCTCGAAAGAACAACACACGGCCGCTCATTCCCACCCACCCAACCTTCAGCTCATATTCCTGCTCCGAGAGGCAGGCGGCGCCGCGTCCCTCCTGACGATCTGAGTCTCCACACACCCCGGGGGAACGTGTGCCCCAGCTGGAGAAACTCAGCTGATAAGATGAGGGACAAATTCCCCAGCCTGACATGGATTCCCTTCCAGTCCAGCCCCCCGCCACCGACCTTCAGTGTGACGTCACCTGGGTGTCCCCAAACTCTCATCCTTTCAGTCAGTGTTTCCCCTGAATGCCTTGTAAAAGGATTACATGTTAGAAAGAGGTTTCCAGAGTTGGATCTGTTCAGGAAAAGCTGTGAGAAACAAAGATACACAGGTTTCTTAACTGTTGGAATTCTCAGATCATTTAATTTCTTAAGGTGCATAGAAAACGTTCACGGGGGTGGTCGATAGTGTTACTTGAACATGAAATCCACAACCCCTTTTCTTTCCTTTTTTTCTCTTTTCCTTTCCTTCCTTCTCCCCTTCCTTCCTCCTTTCCTCCTTCCCCCTCTTTTCTTCCCTTTTCTTGTACAGCATATCAGGGTGCATTTCATCCAACCCACCCTGGAAAGCTGTGTTAAATCATGTGGTTAATATGAATGTAGCCTGCGGGGGACCCACAGATGACTAGGACATGGTTCCTCCCTTCAGAGGCTGAGAGTGGATGAGATGTGGGCGCAACCTCGTGCTGGCAGAAAGTGAGGACCATCCAAGTGGCCCAAGGACAGAGGGAGCACCCCTGCTGGGTGGCCTGCAGGGTGGGGAGGTTCCAGGGAGCACAGTTGGAGGAGGGTCCAGCCCTAGAGGGGAAGTGTGTGGCAGGCTTAAGGCCTGGGGAACAAAGGTGTATGCTTGAAGTTTTCGATTTATCCCTGAAAAAGGTGGAAAATAGGATTAGAAAGGGAGGTTGGGCTTGGATATTAAAGGCTCTGACTGGTAGGCCTGGGGCCCAGTGCAGATCTGTGCACACTGGAGTGCATGGATGGGCTGGAGGGGAGGAAGTAGGACGCGAGACAGGGTGCAGCCTGGAGGTGACTGTAGGGTCTGGAGTGGAGGGTCTCACCTCCCTTGGGGGTGAGACTATACAAGACAGCAGCGGAATCAAGACAGACGACCTGCACCCAACAACTTCCCATTCCGTACCATGACGCTGGGCCCAAGGGAGGCCAGACTGCAGGAGCCAGAACTGGCCGTGCTGGGGAGGGGGTGCGGCTGCAAGGTCTCATCAGTCAGCGGGTGCGAAGCACCGATTGGGAGCCGAAGAGCGGAGGGTGCATGCCTGGTCTCTGGCTGTCTGCAGAGGGGCAGGGAGGGAAAAAGCGTGAGCAAGAGGCTGAGGAAAGAGCTGTCTGGGAAGTGGGAGAGAGCCTGGGCCCTGCCAGAGACACTGTGGGCACAGGAGGACAGTGACATGGGGGAGGAGTGGTCAGCAGGTGGCCTGGTGGCCTGAGAGTGAGGTCAGAAAAGTGAGGCAAGGGGGCGGGGTGCAGGCCCATGTCCCCCTAAAGGATGATTTGTTCTAGGCAGCGTTTCCTGGAGGGAAGGAACAAGGAAAAGAGTTTCCTTCTCTCATTCCAGGGGAAGAAATAAAGAAGCAGCACACATGTCAGGTGTGGGGGGTAAGGGGTGAGAGAATGAAGGGATGTCTCTTGAGCCGAGATCTGAGTGAAATGAGAGAATAGACACGGGCGAGGAGCACTCTGGGCAGCGGCCCCCGAGGCGGGGAATGTGGCTGGAGCACAGTGAGTAGGAGAGGGAATGAGTGGAATTGAAATCAGAGACGAAGCAGGGCCGAACTAGATAGGGCCTGGTGGGCATGGTGAGGAGTTTTCTTTTAAGAGCAGTGGGAAGCTATTAAAGCTCTTACACTGCTGAGGACATGTTCTAATTCTCTGTCTAAAGAAGGTGGCTTTGGCCAATGTATGGAGCCTGGACCACAGGGCTGATGCAGGGATGCAGGATAGGAGCCCTGACAGCTGTTGGAGCAAGAGGTGCTGGTGGGGGGCGCCTGGGGCGCACAGTCAGCTGAGCATCCGACTCCTGATTTCAGCTCAGGTCTCAGGTCCTGATCTCAGGGTCTTGGGATTGAGCCCCTCATCGAGCCCTGCGTTGGGCTCCCTGTTTGGTGCAGAGCCTGCTTGTCCCTCCCTCTCCCTCCCCCTTTGCCCCTCCCCTTCTGCTCCTCCCCCTGCTCTTTCTCTCTAAAACAAACAAACAAATAAATAAATAAAAAGAGATGCTGGCGGTGTAGACTAGGGCAGAGACTGTGGGAAGGAGATAAGTGAAAAAATCTGGAGTATTTTCTTGATCGAATTGACAGGACTTGATGGCAGGATGTGGAAAGGGAGAGAAGTCAAGCATGATTCTCTGATTTTTTATTTGAACAAGTGGCAATGCCAAAATACTAAGGTCAAGGGCGCCTGGGTGGCTCAGTTGGTTAGGCGGCTGCCTTTGGCTCAGGTCATGATCCTGGAGTCCAGGAATTGAGCCCCGCATCCATCGGGCTCCCTGCCCAGCGGGGAGTCTGCTTCTCCCTCCGCCCTTCCCCCCACTCGTGCTCTCTCTCGCTCACTCTCTTGCTCGCTCTCTCAAATAAATAAATAAAATCTTTAAAATTAAAAAAATTAAACAAAATACTAAGGTCAAGATGACTAGTGAAGGGTCTGTTGATGGAGTTTGGTTTTGGATATGCAAAGTTTGAGATGCCTGTTAAATATATGAGCGGGGTTGTTGACAGGCAGGTGGATATATGAGTCTGGGACTCAGAGGAGAGGCTGGGGCTGGCGATATAAATTTGGGAGTCATTAGCATGTAGATGATATTTAAAGGCACGGGATGGGATGAGATTGCCCAGGGAGTATGTGTGCATGAAGAAGAGATGAGGCCCAAGGTCTGAGCCCTGGGCCTCCTACATATAGGGAGCTTGGGGAGATGTGGAGGACCCAGCAGAGGATCTAAGAGGGAGTGTTAGTGGGGTGAGAGAAGAAATAGGTGAGTGTGGAGTACAGGAGGCCAGGGGAGGACGTGTTTCCTGGGGGAGAGGGAGAGATCACAGAACGACGTAGGCCCTGCTGGCTGGGACGCAGTGAGTATGGAGTAAGCAGTAGTGTCCGGGGTTCCCAGTGATGTGGGCGAAGCAGGTCTAGAAGAGGCTGCACTGGGCAGGAATCATGCAAGGGCATTGGGGGAGGGTGTAGCCGGGGAGACAAGCCAGGGTCAGGAGCAAAGAAGCAAACCAAGAGACTCAGCTATATGAAGAGGGAGAGGTAGGAGCCAAGCTCTCCCCTCCCTCTGCCAATCAATTACATACATTCATGGGGCAGGATAATCATGCAATTTATCTTCCAAACAATAACAAGCTTGAGACTTGAAAGGAGCACCAATAATAATCACATTGGAAATGCCAGTGTAGAAGCTGTTGCAGGCAAACCGGGATAGTTCGCCATGCTCAAGCAAGTTCAAGCTTTTCCTCTTCCTCCAGGAAGCACTCCTTGATAACTCTAGTCCACGGAGTTGCCTCTCCTCCTGGCCTTCTAGTGGACATCCTGTCCAGACCATGCCCTTGGCAGGTGAACCCATCAGAAGTTCCCAACCTGAATGGCCTAGATGCGTGGGGCGTGGCAATCAGATATGAGGTGTGTCCTGAGTCATTTGTTACCAAGAATTATTAAATGCTGAAGTATGTGTTCCGGTTTTCATTTTGTAAATCAGAGCAGAATCCAGGGTATCCCTGTAATAACATGACTTTTAATCAGTTCTTTTCCAGTACGAGTTTCGGAAGAGGGAAGAAGAGGTGGGATTACAGCCAGCATTCTTGTTTACAAGGCACCTCCCATGTGCCAGGTCCTGGGCTGGGCTCTGGGCATAAAATGGCAAACAGTCCAGATAATGTCCCTTTATCTCCAGATAAAATCCTGGAATTTATATAATGAGAAAGGGAATCAAACCAACCCAAAGCCTAGCTTGCCCATGACACTTAGAGCGAGCGAGAGATACGACACCAGCTGAGGCATTACAAATTAATGCGGTGGTTTGTTCCCATCGCTTCTTCCCTCCCCCTCCCTTTTTGTGTTTCATTAATTCACGGGAGGGTGTGGTGAACGTGAACATCTTCTGTAATATGCATCTGCCCAGCTGAAAAGGGACCGAGAATCCCTGGATTAGACTAAATCTAGCCATTTGCTCTGCTGCGATTTGTACTGAGCTCCGTTCCCATTCATTCAAAGCATCCTAGCAGATGGGTGAAGAAATTGCTATAGGATCCCAGAAGTGTGAGTAAATGATTCCATCTGGAGAGGTCAGGGAAGAGGTCACAGAGGAGGTGGCTTTTGAACTCTCTTTTGAAGGATGCATGGCAGTGGTGCCGGGGGGGAAAAGCAGAAGTGTGCGTATTTCTACGCTTGCAAGGTGAGGTTCAAATGCTCTCAGCCATTCCTTCCTTGAGGATCTAAGCAAAGTTCCAGGCATGCAGTGATGTCTCAACGCTTATTCCTCGAACTGGTGTTGAAAGGGGGAGCCTGACTTAGCTTGGTGCTGATAAGGGGAGAGGGAGCCCTGGGATTGTCTAGACTCTGGGATTTCACACTGGGACATGGGCCTGAGTTCCGTAATGTTGTGGAATTCCTGAAGGACACACCTGGTCCTCTCAGGCAGGTAGAATGGCTTTAGGCCCACAGGTAAGGTGCTCAGATCCAGAGAGGCTCCCTGCGGTGTGGTCCTGGAGAAGGAGAGGGCACTGGGCCCATAGAGGCAGCCTCCCTACAGGCTGCCAAGGGCTCCTTGTCCTAAGGAAGTGGCAGAAGAAGCTCTTTATTGTCCTCCAATTGTATCATTTTAATATTTTATTTTCCCAGAGCTGAAGCTTTTTTATTATGCTAAAGCATGTAGCCTCCAAGCCTGTCATGATCTTTCTAGTCCTTGACAGCCACAAAATTAACACAGTACTTTTCCTAATATCTCTGCTAACATCAGGAGTTCCATCACAATGTCCATCTTCTCTTCCAGGTTTGGCTCGACGGCTGGCGGGCCCGTGATGAACAGCCCGTATTTTTCCTCCAGTGGGAATGGCATAAATTTTTAGATGATCTTTTCTCATCCCTCCTCCTGCCTTAGCCCTTGGGTCAGGGCTAAGGGCTCTGGAACTCTGGATTCTGTAATAGCGTGGCCTGAGGTTTGGAAAGCCAAGGTTCCGACCAGGTCACAGGCAGAAAACAACAAGACCAGACTCATCTATTGACCAACTCTCTCACACACACAGCCCCTCTCACACACACCACACACTGTTCACTGCACACGCACCTCCCTCATATTCATACTCACCTGCTCAACCACATATGCACCTGTATTTAGCTGATACATGAGTAATTTTTGTTTTTGTTTTTGTTGGTAAAATAGAAATAAGACACTTATTATAGAAAGTTTGTATTTTATGATAAAAGTGTGAGCTGCTTGAAATGGAGTGTGCCTGCTTATTTTTATCATGCTCTGTGTCATCTTCACTGCTTATTTCCCCCAATGACCAGACACAGCATTAACCCAGGACATGACAAGAGACCACAGGCTGGAGTCCTCAAAGCGCTGCTGTCTAAATATGGGACCCCAGGGGTCATAAACGTAAGGACTTAACCTCTTCTCTTCTGTGACCCACTCACTTCTCAACATCCTAGTTCCTGCATCTCAGGAGCGGACGTAAAAGTAAAGCACCCTCCTCAGGGAGCTGTTTTATAGGGGAAAAAAAATCTCTCTTGGACAAAAGATGGGAATATGTGACCTGGAAATCAATTCCAAAAACAATCCTAAATGTGGTGGACTATATCCAGAGATTGTATATCAATGCCAAGCTCCAGGCCAATCTCAAAACTGTATATGATGGCACTGCCCTTGGATCTATCTCAGGGACTTGAATAAGGCTGTTGAGAGCATCCTGACCACATGTGTGGAGGACACAAATCTGGGGAGAGGAGACGGCCTCAATCGGTAATAGCACACGTACTAAACTCTCTTACACCCATGGCAGGCATCAATAAGCAGCGGTTCCCCTGAGCCTGTACAAAGCCATAGAATCGTTCTCCCCATAGTGGTCCAGGCAGCCATCACTGATCAGGGATGGTCTGTGAAATGAAACCTGTGTGCCATCCTTTGACAGACTCTAACAAGGTGAAATTAAACAGCAAGTTAATGTAAGGACCTACTCTTGGGTCAAAAAAATGAGCTATGCAAATAAAAGACAGACCAACACTATCAGTTCTAAGTTGTTCTATTACCAATCCTATTAGCTATCTGAAAGCTCAACCCCACCCTGGCTGAGTCCAATCCTGATAGCAATGACAGGCTGGGGTCTGGAAATTACTGATGTCTCAGGACGGGCTTAGCCCTGTGCCCACAAGAGCATTTCTCCTGCCCTGACAGTGTGATAGACTCTGGGATTTCACACTGGGACATGGGCCTGAGTTCCGTAATTGGCCTCACTGGACTTTCCTTCTGGGAACCTGGAAATTAATTTCTCTTCTAAGTTCTCTTAGGACTTAGGCCCTCTCCCTTTCTTCATGGTCTGAGTCTGGGATTCTCCCCAAGATCTTCAGCCCCTGCCACCAAAGCTGGACCCTATTTCTAGTATGTCTTATTTTTTTATTGATTTCCTTGGCCAACAGTCTAGATTCCCCATGGACTCTGAGAGACATTAGTCACCTAGGAGTTCTGACAAATTCAGGAGCCCTTTTCGTTCCTGAAGGGCTTCCTCCTGTGGTCTCTCCAGGTATTAACCCCAGCCTGGACCATAGTTTACTACCCTCTCTTGATCTCAGGCTGTTTGGAGGCAGGAGAGAGTAAGAGAAAAAGCACTGATTTGCCCTTGGCCAGACCTGGTTCTAAGTCACTTTCCAAATGTTGACCTTGGGCAGAGAACTTAATTTCTCTAAACTTCAGCTTTATTAATGGCAATGTTGATAGTTGTGGGGATTAAAAGATAATGTAGACTTAATATAGATTTAATGTCTACTTAATGCAGACTTGTGGTTTTACAATGGTGGAGTGAAGATTTTTTTGTCCCTCTTCTCTTGAAATTGCTCCCCAAATAGGAAAGAGAGCAAGAAAACTTATACAAACTACATTCTCAGTGAAACTAGGAGAAGCCAGCAATCCCATCCACTCTGTACAAAGTCAGAAATGGGATAGGGGAATGGTAAACGCCTCAGTGGAGCAGGGGGAGATCGTGCTGAGATGCCCGCTGAAGGAGACAAAAAGCAAACAATTTTCTCCTGCAGAGTCCTGAAGGTCTCAGGAGGTGCTGGGTGCTGGACATCATGGAAGGTGGGGCTGGAGAGGGATGAAAGTGAGGAGGTGATGTAGGAGGTAGCTTCTATCCCAGCCCCACAAAGCGAGGGGTCATGGACAGTTCTATAGAAGATGGGAGGCATTTTCTCTGGGAAACCTTGGAGACAATGCATAATGATTGTGGAGCTGAGAGTCCAGATTGAAAATGGGGATTAAGTGAAATACAAATACACATCTAATGCCAACAGCTAGGTCTTAGCCAAGAGGTAGGAGTTTGGAGGGTCCTCTGGAGAAACTGAACTACCGCAAAGGCACTTGAAGGTACCAACAAAAATTATCGTATGATTACGCCCATCAAAAAGAGCTCCCAATCAACTTTTAAAGACCCGAGTCTTAATAGGAATGGACAGTCTTCAACAAGAAAGAAACGGATCAAAACGAAGGTAAAAAGAAACCAAAAAAAGAGAGACAGACCATAATATTCTCAGGGAGATAAGATAGTACATTTTAAAAAAATAAGACAATATGCCATATAGTTATTTTTAAAAATCAGAACAAGAAAGTGCTTTTCAAATTAGAACAGTGATAGTTGATGTTTTTCAGTGAAGAGAGTTGGAAGCTAACATCAGAGAGATCTCATGGAAAAGAAAACTAAAAAAAGACACAGGGATGGATTATAGGAGATAAAACATGGGAAAATGAGAGGATCAGTCCAGGATACCAGATATCTGCCTAACAAGAGCTCTAGGCAGAATAGCAAAGATAGAGGGGAGGGTGGTACTAACAGAAAAACACAAGAAAATTTCCCGGATATATTGGTCCAGACTGGTGCTGAGCAAAATGAATTAAAAAGAACTGTCCCAAGGCATATCACTGTAAAATTTCAGAATATCAGGAATAAAGGCAGGATTCTAATAATTTCAGAAAAGCCCACTCACATACAAATGTGCAAGAATCAGAACGGCATCGGATTTCTCAACAGTAACATGGTGAATCTAGAAGATCCCAGGACAAAGCTGTCATCACTTTGATTGGAAATGATTTTTGACCTAGAATTTTAAAACTCAATTTTTATCTGTACAAGTAGAAAGGAGGTGTTTTTAGACATGCAAAGTCTCAAAAATGTTACCTCTTTGCACGCTTGTCAACAAATTAAGAGAGGATGTGCTCCACTAAGACAGGTGGGTAAGCCGAAAAAGAGGACGCAGAATCCGGGAAGCAGGTAGCCAATGGAACATGAGCAGAAGGGAGGCTAAGGAGACATCCGAGGTGGTGAGAGAAGAAAGTCTCAGCTCAGAACCATGTGGCAGAGCCTGGGAAACCACCACCACCGGTCCAGACAGCAACAGGAAGCTAGAGACCTAAGAGAGGAGGTATGTCCACGAGGGGCCTGAGGGGCTGGAGAAAAAGAAAACACCAGATTATCCTGACAGAGTTGACCGTGTAGAACATTGTACTGAGAGTTGTTTTATAGAGGTTGGCGGGAGTGGGAAGACTTAGCTGTAAATTCAAGTGAAAAATGAAACAATTGTTAACTTGGCAGCAGACAATATTTACGTGGTCATAATAATAAAAAGCTCAATTATAGACTTTACCAAAAATTGTGTTATAACTGTAGTGGAAGGATGGAGGTGAAAAGAGAGGTGTGAATAAAGCTAAAATCCTCACTTACCATAAGAGGAAGTCATTATGTAATATCTAAAATGGATGATTCCAGAGAGTGGAATTCCCATAATTATCTAGAAATGTGGAGGTAAATCCCCAAATGAAGTCTCAGCCTTGAAACTCCTCCTCCAGGAGTTCAGGTTCTCCAAGGCTCCCTCAGCTTTATGTTATTCGTTCCTCTGTATGACAGGATTTCCATTTGGCACCAACCACACATTTCCCCCTTCTTCCTTAGTAATAGAACATCATTTTTCAGATTGGCACATGGCCACCCAGAATATGTGACTTAGTTCTAGCCAGAGGAGATGTAGGCAAAGTGTTTTGTGTGATTCTTGGAGGTCAAAGCTACAGTATGAAGTTGGTAGGTAGAACAAGAAGATGGAAAGAGAGAACCTTTAATAGTGGAGGTGCCAGGCCAGCTGGAGTGTCTGTCCCCAGACTTTGCTTATGTGAGAGGAAAGTGAACACCTTTTAAAAGCCACTGTTAAAAAAAAAAAAAAGCCACTGTTATTTAGCTTTCTCACATAGCCAAACCTAATCCTAATTCACATACTCAAAAATGAAGTAACACCATTTTTTCAAGAGGGCTTTTTTTTGTTCTACTATTAAATGTTTTTGAGATCAGGTAATGTCATCTTTCCATCCATCCACCCACCCATCTATTCCTCATCCATCCATCCATCCATCCATCCATCCATCCATCCATTTATTCATTCATCACTTAGTAAGAGTTTACTACTTCCCTAGTACATTGGGCATTGAACCAGGTGCTGAGTTACATAGCTGGACAATCATATTCTCTGCCATCAAAGAGCTAGCTGACTGTAAAGAAAAAATTTTCCAACAAAGAAGGTTTTCCTTGTCACAATCATACAACCTAGCAGTTCCCAAAAGGAGAAGGAGAAAATTGACTTAGTGAGGTCAGTCTCATACATGAAACGTATTCACCAGTTACTCCACTTTACAAGGAGAGCAGCAGGCCTAGAGAATGCAAAAGTAGTCAATCTACATTTTAGGGGCTTGCATCTTTTTATCAAATGAATGAGGCCAAGTCCCCACTATCAGTCAGGGCCCAGCCCAGACAGGAGACAGAGCCACTTCAGTTATTCTGATAGAATTTAATATAAGTAAATAATTATTAACTCTCTATTGAAAAACTAAAAAAGGAGAAAAAAAGGATTGTAGGTTAACACAGACGTGGCAACTGCAGAAAGCAGGTAACATCCAAAGAGAAGAAGGTGGAATTATTAAAACTTGGAAGCCCAGAGGAGAATCCCTGAGGAGTTGAAACTCAGACATGTGGGTCTGGGGAGCAGGGACTGTTTGGCCAGTGCTGGTGTCTGGGTTCAGAGGAAGAGGTCCTTGAGGTAGAAATGCAGACCTCACAGGAGGAGGTATCAGCCTACTGGTGTTGGTGT